GTATATGGCAGTAGCAGGGTCTGGATCACTACTGTATCTGCCAGCATGGGCACCAAAGGGCTTACTAATAAGTCTTATATCATTGACACATACCATAGCTTTGGTATAATGATATATCTAGGTGCTGGTGGTGCTTTGACTTACTTTATAACCTCTGCCAATAGTATTTATAGTTCTATTGGCATTTTTGGCTTGATTTTCCAGGCATAAGCAACCCAGCCATAGATCACATCAATCTTCCTCCATACAATGTCATCGTCCAGGAGGTCTTCCTCCAAATCACCAAGGATATTAGCAAGAACCCTCTATTCTAACAGGCTAAATATTACCTTTTATAGTGGCTGCTAGGGGGCATGGATGCCAAGCAGTTGTCTGTTAAACTCTTTAGTGTTTCTTTTCTTAAAGTGGTCCTTTCAGAGGATACTCCCCACTATTCTATACTACTTCTATCTTGCCACTCTTAGCTTATTCCATTTCTGATCATGCCTTATTTTGTCAGCATCAATAGCCTTCATAGACTTCCTATATAGCCTGCAGCTTAGCTTCTAGGTCCAACCATTTTCTCTCAAGCTGACAAACAGTATTACTCAGGCCAATGGCATGTATCATTTCATCAGACACCCCCATTGGAGCATTTTTGTTAAACTGGATGCTAATATGGCTAAGGATGTCTAGGTAGAGAGAGTAGATGCTATGGCCTAAGCCTGCATTCTGGGCCAAGGCATCCCTCTTAGCATTATTATAGAATCTCTGGAACATAGTGCTATTGGATTTATGCCATGCCCCCTGATCCCAAACGGCCAGACAGTAGTTCTCTTCTCTCATGTTAGCAAGTGTTGGATTGCCATGGAAAAAGGGCTTACTATCAAGGATTTCCAGATTCCCTCAATGATATACATATGACAGGAAATTAAAGAACAGCCCCACTGCCTGTCCAATCCTTCTCAAGTTATTATCAAACATCTTCACTATTAATAGTTCATCTGACTTTACAGGCCCTTCAACAGACTTGACAGTTTGCCAGAACATAGGCTTATGCCAGAACTCCTTCTTCCAGGGTATATGTATGGTGGGCATGCTGATCTTGGTGTTGAAGAAAGGCTTGGCTTGATCATAACCCTTACTGTCAATGACCCCCTCCACTAGAGCCTTGGCAAGGAGCTGAGAGATCAGGCAGAGAATAGGAAGTTTCTTTTTGACAAATGGGAACCAGGTAGGCACCATCTCATTATCAGCATCTTTGTGGAAGCGGAGGAGGATCTGCATCATAAGATAGTCTCGGCTGCCGTCGCCCATAGGGTCCTGCATAATCCAGAGATCTATATCTTCCCAGCAGAGGACCCTGAGCTTCGGGTTATGAGTCCTGTCATCCAACTGGTCGTCACAAACCCAGCATTGCGCTTCGGTTCCACCCGTAGCCCGAACTTGCGCGTGATTTCAACCTTGGCGAAGGTGAGGAAGTGGTCTCGAACCCGCTCCTCAAGAACCTTACTGCTGTACTTGTTAAACACCACTGACAGATCCCTTAAGTACCTGCGGACCATACTCTCGGCGCTGACTCTGTTTTTAGGCCTCCGCACCAGGTACTTGGCGAATGACTCGGCAAGACCCCTGTTGTCCCAACTCAGTGTTTTTAAAAGGGGCTTCCAGGCTGGTGCATTTGGCAGCGATGCACAGAAAGCGATCCATCGTCGTTGGCCGTTAACTATATTCACCTTCATATTGTCGGAGTGTCTCGGTCGAATAGGACGTCGCTTGTTTCCTTGATCCCAGTAATGCTGAAGTTCCTTGCTGGTGAGCGGTGGGGCTTCTGGTGTCTCTAGCGCCGCAAGCTGCGCTTGGATGTGAGCAATCTGAATAAGGTCCAAACTCATTGGCTCACGGACCTGACCGGTGTGATCGCTCGGCACTGTACACACTTGTTAGTTAGACTCATAGGCTGGGCTCTGCTGCAGCGTTGCTTCCCTGAATAAATTTGTACTGTCTTTAATTGAGCACACTCTCGCGATAAATAACAGGTCTCGAAGCTGATCTCAGAGGTTGTGCCTGCCAACGTAGGAGACACGGCGGCATGGTCGACCTAAATACCTAATTTTGCCATTCTTGCTTCCTCTGCACTGGGTGCCCGGAGTCCTGGATCCCTGGTGCACTTCGGTCGGAACGTGCGCTTCAACTGTGCCACTCAGTGTACTGTGTGAGTGCAGTAGACTTCGAGAGGTACAAATGCCCCACCAAAAATGTACTTATCGAGGGTGTTTTGGGGTGCCGAAAATTAGCGGGTCCAAGCTGCCAAAAACGGCATCCCAAACCCCGACACAGACACTCACGGTGGAATACTCCATATTAACGACGTCAGCATCCCAGTCGCGATGGGTTGATTCAGGCACAGAGTGCCCCGCAACGTTGATGCTGGCCTTGGGCTTCCTTGACAGCCCTCAGTACCGCATTGTGCTGCACACAATCACACCACACGCATCTTGGATCTCAGATTGATGAAGGCTGATTTCCTCCTGCGTTGCGGGGTATCACGACATGCCCCTCGGCCATCTCCCGAGTCCAGCAGACCTCCCATAAAGCGATCTGACAGCTCGCTTCCCCTTTTTCCACCGTCGAGTTTCCTACTTGGGACGGACTCAGCGGCCGCCATGCCCACCATGAGAGCCCCATCGCGTGGCAAGACCCTGGCGATCCGTGGGGCTGGATCGATGGTTCTGGACAAGCCTGCATGGCCTCAATTGTCTCCTCATCCTTTGCATCTTGGCGCGGGCGTCGATCGAGGTGTGTCGCCGTTGAGGTGAGGCCCGTGTTGATCAGCGACCACGGCGACTGCTCACGCGATAGCGCGACCATTGGCCTTGATGGCTGCCGCACTCGCTTTGGCCTGATGCGTGACTAGAGGGGATTGGGCGACAGATCGGGGTGGATGGTGGACACTGAACAGCATGTTGTCCCGGCGGTGGCTTCATGCTGCTTCCTGCTGACTTCATGCTCCTATGTGCTCCTTAGTGTTCCTCCACGATGCATAACCGTCCGTGAGCGCCGCTGTGCCCTCGCACCATTCGCCAATGCCCCGCGGGCACGGTTTGCTGTGACCCCTCGAGCCGCCGCCCGCCGGCCATCATTGCGACCTGGGACGCGGGACGCGGCTCGTTCTGTGGAGAAGACGGCAGCAGATGGGTGCCCACCCCCGCACCCTAGGATGCCGGATCGGGGGGCGTCAGGGGTTGTCTGCCGTCCTCGGGCTTTCCATCTCCCACATCTCCCACCTCTCTCGACGGTTCTTGTGGATTGCCTCCCACGAGGTTGGCGGCGTCCTGCCATATGGAGATGCGGGACTGTGCGTTCGCAGTAGTCTGGCTGCACACAATCCAATGTGCAGCACTCAGCGAGCATCGTACATGTGGCGACGGTCGACACCTTGTGAGCTATGAGGCCTATAAGACCCAACCCGACGGCATGCCGGACCAGGTACATCCTGGTGCTGGTTGACTGATTGGCAGCCCGATCCATATCCCATCATACCCTTCGGGCTTTTAGCCCACAGTCACTGCTAGCATGGAAGCTCCCAGTGACGATCAAGGCCCTCGAATCCTCATCACAACCTGGACTCTCACCGGGCTCTCTGGCACCTTTCTCGCCGTGCGCTTGTTCTGCAAGCTGCACACGAAACGGCGGCTCTGGTGGGATGACTACGTCCTCGCCTTGTCATGGGTACGTCCCATCAACTCCGAACGATGTTGGGATCAACTCCTAATGACCATACCTCCAGATCATGCTCCTTTTCTCCATCATTCTCGTCACACTGAGCGTATCTCACGGCCTCGGAAAGCACGTCTACGCGGTGCCGCCAGAAAATTTCCCGCTGCTCGGCGTGGTCGGCAACTTGACCGGGACCTTCTCGATCCTCGCCGCGACATGGAGCAAGACGTCGTTCGCCCTGACTCTGCTGCGACTCATGCAAGGGCGGATGCGCATCCTTCTTTGGTTCATTATCGCCACGGTCAACATCCTCATGAGCCTCAATGCAGTCTTTATGTGGATTAGATGCACGCCCGTGCAGAAGACGTGGAACCCCTATGTTCCGGGGACGTGTTGGGATCCAGAAGTGTATCCCAAGTACGGCATGACTGCTGCTGGTAGGTCTTGACCGTGGTACAATTGGAGTTGTCCCGGGCTAATCTAAAGTCAAGGTTATTCTGCTGCGGCCGAGTTTGCGCTCGCGCTGTTGCCGTGGAAAGTGATTTGGAAACTGCAGATGAAGCGCAAGGAGAAGTTTGGTGTTGCAATGGCCATGAGCATGGGCATATTGTAAGTCCTGCAGCCACGCAAACGTGCCTGAAGATGACATTAACACGCCACAGTGCTGGCGCAACAGCCGTTGTCAAAACGACCGAGATTCCATCGCTTGCATCCGCCGACTTTACCTGTAAGTCGCCTTACCCAAATACCACATGCCCTGCCCAGCTGACCCGTCGCAGATGTATCGGCACCCCTGGTCCTCTGGGGCGCCGCAGAGTCAGGCGTGACCATCATGGCCGCCTCGATACCGGTGCTGCGCACATTATTCCGCGACTTGAACAGCCTGAGCAGGAGATACTACATTGCCGAAAGCAAGAACGCGACGCAAACTTCGAGGGTCGCACCACGCAGCAGCGTCAATAATACTACCGTCGTTACTATATCTGTCGGCGCCCCGTCTTCTTTGGAGTTGCGCAAGACGAATAGCACCAGCGATAAAGCGCCGATGCGGGAGTCGTGTGGGCAAATCTTCCAGAGCACCGAGATTGTGGTCGCTGTCGAGCCGAGGAGGGAAGATGAGAGTGATAGGAATGAGCGCTTGCAATTTGTGCAGATTGGGGGGGCCCTGTAAGATAGCTAGATAGATATTAATGGTTATTCTCTTAATTATTCTCTTCTACGACGCCGCAAAAAGTCAATCGCTGTCATACCAATGCGAATGCAGGTGCGAATACCTGAGTTGTGAGGGGGCAAAAAAGAATCTCTCCCGCCGGGAATTGAACCCGGGTCCCGAGCGTGATCCGGAAGGATGACAAGCTCATATACTGACCACTATACTACGGAAGACTTACTGATGTTGACATCAGCTGTAGTGTTGGTTGGTTGGGATTGCACCGTGGAACTGGGCCCTATATCGTCCCGCTTGCCCCACTTCTTTTTGCCTCGTCTTCCCAACACCATCCATCCCCTTTTCCATCACAAAACAAATAATGAAAAAGGATGGTAATCCTGTCTTGATGGTCTTTTTATCTTCATAATTAGATAAATGAAAAACCATTTTGCTTATATGCATCGTCCACCACTGGCATTGAATCTTGATGCAAGATACCGTGACCTGGCTGAAATCGTCCAAGCTATGCAGCCGCTTCCATTCGTCAACTTTCAGACAGCCTTCAATCGACAATTTGCTCGCACTCGGTGGGTACTGATTGTCTTGAAATCTCCACTGTCATTCCTCCAACTACAGTGGTAATATACATCCCATTAAGAAGATCCAATAGTTCCGAAGGGACTACCTCCCATGTCGCCCACCCATCAAGCTGCAAGGGCCCGAACCCAGCTGCCGCACGCTAATGTTGTGCAACACAACGTAAAGCCCCAAGATTCATCGATGCTTCTCCAACTTACACCATCAGCGCAATATGTTTCAGTTCACTGCAGTACCATGTTAGTTTCAGCCTCACAAAATCAGAAGAAAAAACGTACCTCTGAACCTGCTCCCCAACCTTCATGGGCAAATACTCCACCTCCTCTCCCTCATCCTTGCCAAGATTGAACTGCTGCACGCGCACCTCCCTTGCCTGCTCCACCAGCTCAGGGATCGGCGTCAGGTCATGATCCGACGACAAATGCCAGAAGAACGTCGACGAGATGCGCACCAGCGGGCGCTCGGGGAAGTCCCTCTTGCGCGCCTCGATGACATCAATCGTCTTCTCGTTCACCACCACCTCGTGGAACCCCGCTTTGATCAGCCCGCCCGTGATATGCTCGAGCTGCTTGCCGGCCTGCACCAGCAGGTAGTTGCCGGGCGGGATCTTGACGGGGATGCGCTTGCCCGTGTTGCGCGCCCAGATGTGCAGCCCCGGGTAGCGCGAGCGGCCGTGGATGGTCAGGAAGTTGAGGTCGGTGTGGAAGCCGGCGAGGATGGTGTCTTGTTGGCCGTACTTCTTGAGGTCCGAGGCGGTCGGGGCGAGGAGGTGCGGGCTAGGGGGGGGAGGGGGGGTTAGTGTTGGTTTGGGGATGGGAGGGGGGGTTGCGTACCCATATCGTCCGGCGTCTTTGAATGTTTCTGCTGGGAGGCCGAGGCCGACGGCGGCCATTTCGGTGAGGCCTTCGACGCTGGGTTGTTGGGTTAGTATTGATGGTTTTCGCGGGGATTGGTTTGGCGACTCACGCGTTCTTCATCGATGTGCCCCACTGGTTCATGGTCGGTTCCCAGCGCTCCTTGATATGCGGCGCCCCAGGGGTAATGTTGGCGGCATTCAGCCCGGGAAACTCGGTTTTGTAAGGGGGGGGCTCGACCATCCTCCAGAAGAAGCGGCATTTCGGATCCGGGTCGTGGGCGGTGATATCGAGCGGACGCTCCGAAGGCTCCAGACGCTCAATCACGTGCAGGCACGGCTCGTCGACGGCGCACTTTGGCTTCTCGGTGTTTTCTAGCGTCACACCAATCTGGTAACTCAACTCGGGCCGTTCATCCCTCTTCATGTCTTCCTCTGGCTGGGCAAAGTAGTCCTCGAGGAGATCGAGGAAGGTGGAATTGTCCTGCTCGGACACACGCGAGTCGTGGAGCACGAGGGCGCCATATGTGATCAGGGCCTTGGCTGCCTTGACACATTCAGCCTGCACCTCTGGAGAGTCGCGCGCATGGTTAAGAAAGACGTCGAGATCGACAACGGGCAGATCCATGGGGAGGTCCGTGGTAAGATCCTGGGAGAGGACCGTCATCTTGAATGTCGTCGTGCTAGAGATGGTGAGTGGTGAGGGTGAGTGAGGTGAAGGTGAAGGTGCAACGGTGATGATGCGGGGTTCGGAATTCCAAAACGCTGACGGTGAGATGGCTGAGTCGAGTGATAAGCCAAGAAGCCGACCACGCCCGACGCCGTTATATGTTGGTTTACAGTGAGAAAAGAAGTTAAAACGAGTGGAAAAATGAAGAAAACGAACACGTCGAGGGGCAAAGATGCAAAATTTGACTCGTGATAAGAAGCCGAATGAGGAAGGTCTGTGGCAGCATTGGTCTTGGGGCTTCGGCTAGACTCGTGGGAGTTAACGGTCGGTAAAGAGGCGTTTGCCTAGGAACGGCATGTCGCGAGGAGCTCTCACATGGCCCGTCACCCGCCAGCTGCCGCCAGGCTCCGCATCGTCGGCGTTCATGATTGGAGGCTCTGTGACACCCGAGCGCCGTTGCAGACCCACCATCACGGGGCAGTGTGGTGGCCATTTGAAACAACCTGATCGAGCAGCGTTGGCTCTTACCCCGTGGCACAGGAGGAAACTTTGAACATATCTCTTCACTGTATCTTGTGCACCCTTCTCGATCTTGCAAATTGTACTGTTCCCATTCTTCGCCGACTTAAGGGATCTAGTCGCCAGTACTTTTTAACATTTATTTTTCTTTCCCCATAGGAAAAAACACCTAGGTACAGCCAGCACTGCAATTTTAGCCCCCTCCGACAGGGCAGACCTTCAGTGGGGAGCCACGCTCTGTACTCACCGCCACCCTTTCTCCTTTTCACTCCTGCCCTACAAACAAACACCAAACATTGTGCAATTACCTATAGCAGCCTGGCAAGTAAGTGCACTCGAGCGTTCTCTCCGATCCGCCCTTGATGAGTCACTGTTAGGGAATGCAAGGGTCTCTGGCGTAGGTCTCAGGCTCCAGCTGCCAATCAAATTCGCCAAATTCGCCAAAATTCATTTGTTGACCTCCTGAGGAGACCCCTGAAATGCCAGATGGTGCACCCTGACAAGGTTGCTGTTAGGCTTTGCTGGCGCTACATGCATGTTGCCGCAGCCCCAAGGCAGCAGCTCCAGTCGCGTTCATGCTGCCACCCAGACCGTCGCTTTGTCTCGGTGCCCAATGTCGGTGGTCTTGTCGAGGGTTGGAGGTTGGGGTTGGAGGTTGGGGTTCTACAGGCTATCAGACACAATGATGAAAGCATTAAATACAATGGGCAGCATCACCATATATCTCCTGTCCCTGGAGTATCCAACTTGAGGCATTCGAGTCTCACTGCTTTTTTGTTTGCCAGACTCCATTCCACCCCTTTCGCGCTCAAGCAACTTTCACCATGGCAACCACCATTTCCAAAACCACCGTCCAGAAACTCTTCAAACATCGGTGCGAAGGCTCTTGCGAGGACCGTTAGTCCGTTTTCTCGGACCTCGCTGAGGAGCAAAAGGATGTCTGGGACAAAGTCCGCAACCAGCCGATTGTCCACCGCCATTACTACGACAACAAGAAATGGGAGACCGCTAGTTCCACAATCAACTCGCCCGACATGAGGGCCTTGATTTCTGAAGCCCTCGAGAACTATCAGGATCTCGACTTGGAGCTGGCGGGCTGGACTTTCTATCCGCCCTTCATGCCTATTGTCCACCGCTGGGAACAATTCCAGGGGCTGCATCGGGAGGTCAGTGATGCCCCCCCTGGCTCACCAAAAGCAGACAAGAAGGATGCGGCCGATGCACTCATGGAATTCCTGACGCCTTTGCTTGCCCCGTCGGTCGACGCCCTCGGTGATACTCGGCTGAGCGGGAAGATCTCGTGGCAGAGTATCTGGCAGATCTTTCCCCCTGGTGAGCTGGTCGTGACCAAGTTTTACGGCGTTGAAGCCATTTGCCGGGTGGTTAAGTATAAGGAAAAGACGGGGGTTTATGATATCACGATGGAGTACCTGGACTGGAACGGCGAGCAGTGCGGCTTCACCAGCATCAAGCGCAAGATCAGCGCCTTTCGGGGCATCAACAATGTCACCTCTCTTCCCGTCTATCCAGTGTCCTTCGCCCAGGACTCCGAGGCTATCAAGCGTGTTGTTACCCATCGAGGACGCCAGCTTGAGGCGCTAAGGGGATATCACTTCCGCACCTACAGTGGTAGCCGGATCCTGATAGACTCCAATGAACAACGGCCTGTAAGGTGACCCAGCCAACGCGAACTCTCCCCTGCTAACTAGGTGTTCAAGGCCGGTTCTTCATTGACAACCTGAAGGACACTGTGTGGAACGATAAGGCCTTTGACAATCTGGTTCTCCCTGGAGGCGAGAAACAGCTGGCCTGGGATTTCGTTGAGAGCAAGGCGCACTCGAAAGAGACTTACGATGACTTTGTCGCGGAGAAAGGTCTGAGAGGGAGTTCCGCTGTACTCTCTGAGCGCAGGCATGCTGGGCACGGATCCGGCGGACGTTGAGGCGTCTCTGGAGCGGGCGCTTGAGCTTTGCCGCATGTGGAACGCCATGCTTCTCCTCGATGAAGCCGACGTCTTCCTCGGGGTACGAACCAACGACGGCATTGCCAGAAATGAACTCGTGTCAATCCAAGGCCAGCCCCTTTTTTCTTTTTTACAGGCACCCTAACCCTAGACATCAGTCTTCCTCACGAAGCTCGAGTACTACCAAGGCATCCTCTTCTTGACGACCAACCGCGTCTCGAGCATCGACCACGCCTTTCAGTCGCGCGTTGATTTATTTTTGCCCTATCGCTCGCTCACCGACGGCGCCCGTAAAAAGGTGTGGGAGAACTTTATCAACCACCTAGGCCCTCACAGGTCCGATCTTGGCGAGGCGGATCTAGACAAGCTGTGCAAGCTGAAGCTTAATGGCAGAGAGATTAAAAACCTGATCAGGACTACCCAGTTGCTCAGCTTCCGTTCAGGGGGCAAGGTCAATTCGGAGAAACTGTGCATGCTTGCTGAGAAGCGTGTGGAGGCGCTCTCGCAGTTGGAGGATTATTAGGGTGGACTTTTGTTGCCTTTGGGGGATGCTGTTTTGGGTTACTAGATCATGGGTTTTCAACACAAAACACACTCTGAGGCTTTGCCCATCTGAAATGCCTTTCCAGCACTC